CCCCGGGGTCGGGGATGCTCCCGGGGGGTCTCCGCCCCGGGGTCGGGGATGCTCCCGGGGGGTCTCCGCCCCGGGGTCGGGGATGCTCCCGGGGGGTCTCCGGGATATCTCTGAGCTGAGCGGATCAACGGAGCGAGCAGAGAGTAGTCGGGAAGTAGACCTGAATCAGTCGTTGGGCCGTGTCGGGGTTGTGATTCTCCGGTTGCTGCCTGCTGCCTTCTCCGCTCCCGTCCCGGGCCTCGGCCTGTTGACCGCGGAGTCATAGCAACCGCATCAGCCCCTCTGCGCCTGCGCCATACCGCCCACCTCCTGCACCCACCCTCCCCATTGTGAAGAGTCACGTGTCTACAGGCATGCGTGCACAGGGAGCTAACAAACACTAAATAATTACTTCCTCAGCATTTTCACCAATCAATTTCATACCTATGACAGAAATGAACTTTAGACTCACATATTAGCGCAACGTTTATGGCTACGGTCTGGCCTACCTGTAACTCCACACGACAGCAGAAGTTTGACTGAACTGCCCTTTGCAATAGCCCAGGACTGCAATCAGTTCAAGGTCAATTAGGCAGGTTCTCAACATTGTGAATATGCTAATTGAAAGGGTGTTGAAATCCCCATCGCCAGGGAACTTTTAAAACAGCAATAGAAATTGGATTTTGGTAGCATCAAAAATCTAGTCAAGTGTCACATTTCAGTTGGGGTGTATCATGAATGAAAAGTTATAATTTGATTACAGCTAAATCTCCATGGGGTATTCTAAAAGAGTTGTACAGAAAATTCATTATTTTCGAAGTACGATGACTTACAAAAGCAAGACAGCTGCAAATTCAGACACAGTAACACCCACAAAGATTCAACATAGCAATTTCACAGCAGATTGTCCTACTGCAACAGAAGTAAAACCACTCTTTCATAGTCAAACAGCCTTTTGCAGAAGGTGGAGAATAGTAGGGATCAACCCTGAGCTAGGGGTGTTCTGAGGTGCAGTCAAGGGACTGGTCCAGTCCAAGATTTCCCAACACCATGTCCTTTTAGTTCTTTCCTCAGCATATGTTCTGGAGCATGTTTAAAGTTCCTACACAATTAAAAAAAAATGCTTGATTTCAATTCACCTTCTGGCATTCGTTCACTCATGAATGGTTTAAATAATGGAACTTTGCACTGTTGATAGCTAATTGAAGTCTTCAGCTTTTTCAGAAATCATTTAAGTACAATAGCCCAGGCTTCCTGACAATTCAACCAAACAAAAGAAGTGATCCATTGAATTACACAGAGCAGAAATTCCCAGTTTTGACGCACTCATCAGTGCATATAGTAACTGAACGGCCTTCTATTTGGTGGGTTAGTAGTATGGCTGCCACCATTGGATTTGAGCCAGGGTAAATAAGAAAATCGTGCAACAATACATTTATTTCTGACCTACATAATTATGAAATGCTTTGAGAGATTAGTCACGGCTCATATCAACTCTAGCCTCCCAGCCTGCCTTGATCCCTTGCAATTTGCCTACTAGTGCAACAGGTCCATGGCAAATGCCCTAACCCTACATTCATCCCTGGAACACCTGGATAATAAGAATACCCACATCAGGTTTCTACTTATTGACCACAGCTCCACCTTCAACACTGTAATCACAACAAAACTAATCTGCAAATTCTGAGACCTAGGTCTGTTTCACCCTCTGCAACTGGATCCTCGACATCGTGACCCATAGATTGCAGTCAGTGATGACATGTAACAGCATCTCCTGCATGACAATCCTCAACACCGGCACCCCACAAAGATGTGTCGTCAGCCCTCTACTGTACCCCCGTATACTCATGACTGCATGGCCAAATTTCATCCAACTCCATCTACAAGTTCACCGACGGCACCACCGTTGTAAGCCGGATATCAAACAATGACGAAACAGAATACAGAAAAGTGTGTGTGTTTGGTGGCATGGTGCAACGATAAGAATCTTTCCCTCAGTGTCAGCAAAACTAAATAGTTGACCATCGATTCAGGAATCAAGGAGGAGGGCATGACCCCACGTACATAAATAAAGCAGAGGTGGAGATGGTTGACAGTGTCAAGTTCTTAGGAGTGACGACCACCAACGATCTGGCCTGGACAACCCATGTTGTTGTGACATTCAAGGCGGCACAACAATGCCTCTTCTTCCTCAGGAGGCCAAGGAAATTTGGTATGTCCATAAGGACTCACATCAACTTTTACAGATACACCACAGAAAGCATTCTATCTAGATGTGTCACAGTTTGGTATGGCAACTGTTCTTCCCAGGACCACAAGAAACTACAGAAAGTTGCCAACACAGCCCAGTCCATCACGCAAGCCAACTACCCATCCATCGACTTCACCTATACTTCTCGATGCCTTAGAAAGGCAGCCAACATCACCAAAGACCCTTCCCACCCTGGTTATAATCTCTTCCAACTCTTCCATCAGGCTGAAGATACAAAAGCTTAAACACACGTACCAACAGGTTCAAAAACAGCTTCTTCCCCGCCATTATTAAACTTCTGAATGGGCCTCTCAAATTTCAAATCCAGTGTTGATGTTGCTTTTTATGCACTTTCTTTGCAGCCATAACTTTGTATTCCTTGCTCTGTCCAATCACCCCATGATCTTTGCATGTTATGATTTGCCTGTGCTGCACGCAAAATAAAACTTCTCTCTATACTTCAGTACATGTGACAATAAATGAAATCAAAGACTCTTAACTGCCTTCTCAGCAATTAGGGTTGTGCAATAAATGCTGGCCTAGCCAGTGATGCCTTCATCCTGTGAATGAATAAGAAAAGGGTACCCAATTTCCCCTGAGGTGTGTCAGCTGAAAGTTAGCTTCCAAGTGCATGGGACAACTGCCCAAAACAGGCTAACTCCTTAAATATGCTAATCAGGGGCCTAAGACCCAATGGAAGAACAAGTTTTTCTTTTGGTTTACACGTATTTTAATTTGCAGTCAGAGAGGGACTGCTCCTCCTTTTCGCACAACAATTCTTCCCCTTCTTGTTGCTGCTCCCAATTTTCTAATATCTATGTCCAGGCCAACACAATATCCAATCCTGCAGATAGAATGCCATGGTGCAAGACGTGATCATTCTGCTACGTACACAGGACTAAAAGCATGGATTAATACTTCACATCAGATATTGTGGCATGGCAAAAATTAAAATGAAATGAAGAATGTTTCACCAATTAATTTTAATAATATTGATACCGGTTGAAACTAACAGAACAGACAGTACAGTTTGCTGAATAAATCAACATAATTTACATAAAATTTAAACTGGCCATTTCCATTGGTTGTGAGGGGCTTCTTCTATTAATGGTTCCCAAGGTTTCCACTTGGCCATTTTGTATGCCAGAGAAAGTTCATTCTCAGCCTGTAATTGAAATATAAATTAGCAACCAAGGGTATTTTAAGAACATTTTAAACAGCATTTTAGTTTTCTAATTCATATTTGTTTTACAACTTTAAAATAAATTAAGATTAACTCTGCCCAATCACTAATTTTAGTTCATCGCACCTTAAAAATAAATCACAAATTTAGAAAGATATTAGGGACTATGAAGAAAGTAATTGTTGAATATTTCTGGAGGGTAACAACAACGCCCTAAACCATTGCACTAAGTCAGAGCTAATAAAGAAGCCACTTTGATTAGGATCTTCACAAAAAAAAAGTAAATAATCTGCTACAGTCTGACTGTTGTCAAATGTTAAGTTCTTTATCTTATTGAATTTACTTTTTTTCTTGAAACTTTTAATGTGTTGATCCCATAATATCTTGCCACCAGTAATGAACCTGTTCAATGCAGTGAAGTTAGCAAAAAGTTAGACAAATGGTTACAAACTAATAACATAAAATAATTATTCTGTATCTTCAACCTCCAACATGATAGTGCAACAAATGTTTTGGCTATTCTGAATGGGAGAGAATTGCATCACATACATGAACTATAAGTTTCCTTTAACCAAATGACTAATGCCTCCTGTCAACAATTTTGTAACATCACACAACCGAATATTTGGCCATCTATGTCATTTAAATATACCCATAATTGATTTTTTTCTTTCACAAATAAAGCAGCTTAATGTCTGCATTGTCCTCAGCTTAAAATTGCCATGAATTTCACTCGTGTCCCAAATGGAGGACATCCTCATCATTTACTACTGTCCCACATATTTGAAAATCAAGTAACATACAAGGAGAGTCAGTGGTTGTGATGTATTTGGATTTCCAGAAGGCCTTTGACAAGGGGCTGCATAAATACACAAAAGCCCATGGTTTTAGGGGCAAGTTACTGGCATAGATGGAGGATTGGTTGACTGGCAGAAGACAGCAAGTCGGGATAAAGGGGTCATTTTCAGGGTGGTAACTGGTGACTAGTGGAATTATTGCCAGAGTCCATGTTGGGACCACCACTATTCATGGTATGCGTTAACGATCTGGATGAACTCACCAACAGTTACTAAGTTTGCAGATCACATACATTTAGATGAAGGGATAGGTAGTGTTGAGCAAGCAGGGAGGCTGCAGACAGACTTGGACAGGCTAGAAGAGTGGGCAAATATGTGGTAGGTGGAATACAATGTGGAAGAGTGTGAGGTTATGCACTTTGGTAGGAAGAATATAGACACTATTTTCTAAATGGGGAAATGCTTCAGAAATCTGAAGCATGAAAGGAATTGGGAGTCTAGTTCAGGACTCACTCAAGGTTAACATGTAGGTTCAGTTAGCAGTTAGGAAGGCAAATACAATGTTACCATTCATTTCAAGAAGGCTGTACTGCTGAGACTGTATAAGGTTTTGGTCAGACTGCATTTGGAACATTGACAGCAGTTTTGGGCCCCATATCTAAGGAAGTTTGTGTCTGCGTGAAGGGGATTCAAAGGAGTTTTTCTGAGGAAATCGCAACCAGAATGGATAGAGGAAAACCAATAGATGTTTTGTATTGGACTTCCAGAAGGCATTTGACAACGTACCTCACAAAAGATTAAGCCATAAGAGCCTATGGTGTTGGAGTTTGTACGTGAGCGTGGATAGAGAATTGGCTAATGTCAGGAAACAGTGAGTGGAGATAAATGATTCTTTTTCAGTTTGCCTACCTGTGACCAGTGGGGTTTCATGGGGATCAGTGACAGAACCATAACAGTTTACAATATATATTAATGACTTGGAGAAAGTGAATGTACTATAACCAAATTTGCAGATGACACAAAAATAGGTGGAAATGCAGGTTGAGAGGGGATA